AAAAAAATTTTAACCTTAAATGTGGATTCTATTTCTTTTAGAATTATTAATCCTAAAAATTAAATGTGACAATAAAATTGAAAATATTTTCTAAATAATTAAAGATCACATAAATATATTTTTTCCTTATAAATAAAAATTATGACAACTCCTTAGGTATAGTTTCTTCAAAATAGACTCAGATTGTTAAGCACATCCATTTATATCCCACCTCATTTAAGATAAAAAGCAAAATCCTTAACTTGGCCTATCACCCAATATAATCTTGCTTCTTCCTTCTTGTCCAGCTTTTGTAAAGACTGTCCTCTCTGCTTGGAATGGTTTTCCTTTCACTTTTTGACAGGTTAATTCATTTTTTTTCAGGGCTCATCTTAAATGATAGGTTTTAAATGTCATTAGTTTAAGCATGTAAAGTCAGTATAAAGTTTACCTTGAGTGTTTACCAGTGACTGGAAGGGGACAAGAGGGGGCCTCTGGGGTCCTGGTACGGTTCTGTTTCTTGAGGTGAGTGTTGGTTACACAGGTGTTTACATGTAAAAATTTACTGAGATGTACACATGTGATTGGTCCACTTTTCTCTATGCATGTTATACTTCAGTAAAATGTTTACTTCAAAAAAAAAGTCACTTCCTCTGAACTCTCCCCACATGCTGTCGATCCTCCCCCCACCCAGTTATCCGCTCACAGTACCCTCTCTTCTTTCATGAACCTATTGTAATCTGTAAGTACAGTATGTGTTTAACATGTATTTATTTTTAATGCCTGTAAGTTTCATGAGGGCAGGAATATGAAGTTTTACACCTCACTGTATCCCAACACTTGACACATTGCTAGCACACGGCAGGCACCCAATAAACATCTGCTGAATTAATGAATGCATTATAGCAGCCTTCTTTAACAAAGGTCAACACATCTCTCAATCTAATTTATATGAAGGAAAAAAGTAATTTTGGAGCTATTATTTCACTACTAATTACTGAATCTTCTCACTGAGAAATCAGTTTAAAATGATGCAAAACTTTTGTAGCATTTACATGCTTTGATTCTGCAGACAGGAGCTATCCCTGTAAGACTGATTATTTAATTTAAAAACAGATGCAGTCATTGAATGCCCAATTTCCCTTTGAAACACCATTTCTGAACTTATAGCTAGAATATAAGAAAGTCAAATAAAAAAAATTTGGCCCTTCTGCAAAATAGCCATTATAACATTCTATTATTCAGTGATAAGAACTGTAATAATCTTTTAAAATAATCTAAAGCCAACAGAAAGTCTGTTATGAAGAATCAGCATAATTTTATCAGACAATGAGAATAATAAAGTTTTAATTTTTTTCTTTGATTGCCAGGAACCTCAAAGGTAAATTTACTGTTCAATTATAGTAATTGCTTCATTTCTAAAACCTAATCATATCCTACTTTCTCTATGTTGCTTATGATTTTCTTTTTTATATATAATTATCCTGTAGTCATGATTAATTTTTTACTGTATGCTACCTCGAATTCTTTTTGCCAATAGGCAGGATAAAAATAAAAATTGGTAGCACAGTGGTTAAGAGCTCGGCTGCTAACCAAAAGGCTGGCAGTTCAAATCCACCAGCAGCTCCTTGGAAACCCTATGGGGCAGTTCTACTCTGCCCTACAGGGTTGCTATGAGTTGGAGTCAACTCGATGGCAACGGGTTTTTTGTTTTTAATGCTGAATAAATAGATAAGTTAAATCTAAAGAATTATTGTAAAAAAGCCAAAAGCAAGCTACATTATTTAAAATGTGAGGCAGGGAGTCTATAGATCATGACTGTTTGAAGTGATCTTATTTTTCTGTAAAACACGAGAAAGGTCTATATTAAAAATGCATACCTGAGAGGCAGGCTTCTACCAATACTTATAGAAGCCTCTGGGATTAACTTTTTCCATTTAGTACTCGAAAACTCAATGGATTTCAGCACAGAAATACCTTCTTCTAAAGAAGATTTCATCCAAGAAGCCCTTTCATATCGCTGTTGGGACACACAGCCAGGTTCCTTATACCCTAGAAGAGGGAGAGAGAATATAATGAAAGAGGTTTTAAAGAAGAGTAAACCAGATCACAGTGCTAAGTGAAGAAAGAGTTACCTCGGAAGGTGAGCCTGCTGTCAGCATTATCAGGGCGCAGTGACAAACGGAACTCTACTCGGCTGGTAAACATGCGGTATGGTTCGTTGGTGCCCAATATAGTAAGATCATCAATCAAGACGCCTATGTAGCCTTCTGTTCGGCTAATGACAAAAGGTGGCTTGCGACTGACTCGAAGACTGGCGTTGATCCCAGCTATCACACCCTACAAGAGGACTGAAATGTTTAAAAGGCCAATTATGAACTGATCAAAGAGCTATCTTACTCAGAACACCACTTGGAAAAAAACAGCATGATATAATTAAAAAAACAGGCGCTGCTCATAAGGGATATAATTAAAAAAAACAAACGAACACATTGCCGTTGAGTCAATTCCAACTCATAGCAATCCTACAGCGTCCCTATAAGACAGAGTAGAACTGCCCCACAGAGTTTCCAAGAAGTAGCTGGTAGATTCAAACTGCCGACTTTTTGGTTAGCAGCCTGAGCTCTTAACCACTGTTCCATAAGGGCTCCAAGGGATATAACAGAGATAGAAAATATAATCCATATTCTGAAACAGAATATGGGTAATGTACCTCTTTAGAGTGCTATAATTCATTGTTTTATGAATATCTAATATTCCTGGTAAACCTAGGTGGGGACTAATCTTTTTTAAAAAATCCATCTGTAAGACTTTTCTAGTCTTTTCCCATTTACAAGTAAAAAATAACATAACTTACCACTTACAAGAAATAAAAGATGATAATCCTCAATAAAGTTATACTAAAAGGGCTATTCTTTTCTTAAACTTAGATGCAATAAATCTAATCAAAATACTGTATCAGATCTAGAAGTTCAGAAAAGAATAATAAAGCCACAAGTACTTTACAGTCCAGTTATATACAATAGCCATTTCCATATACCTTGAAACAGTCTTCCATTAGTTATGAGTGTATCTAAGATCTATACAGTTAACAAAACAGACATCAAAAGGAGGAATACCAATGAAATGATTCCCTTCTGTTTACAGTAACGTTTGAACAGTCTCTTACTTGAGCTGCAGCTTCCTCATAACCAGTGGTGCCATTTATCTGTCCAGCAAAGAAGAGCCGTTGAACCAAATGAGTCTCAAGGGAAGGAGTGATCTGACGGGGGTCTAAGTAATCATACTGAACACCATAGCCTGACCAAAGAACAAATGGTATAAAATAAGTAAAAATGGAGCTCAAGGTACAGATGGAAAGATAACCGTTAAATGCTCTTCAAAATCAGATTATTTTAAATGCATAGATGTTGGGCTTTATCTTTTTAGGCTCTAAGCAACCATGACTATATCCAAGACCTCCACACTGCCTACTAAAATGATGCCGATCGTACACTGAAGGCAGCTATGACCCTCTTTACCTGGCTGAATCATCTTAGC